TGTGTGTGTGTTTTAAAGTGCCCTTGTGCTATTTTAAAGATTGCTAGTTTTGTTTTGATTTCTCCTACGATACGTTTACATGAATCCAAGGTCAAAAACACTTTAATTATCTCATAATATCCACTGGAGCATCAGCTCTTTTCTCTCAGTGTGTGAAACGCTTCGTTTGCAGATTCAGTCTCTCTAAACCCCGCCTCTCTGAGAGCTGCTCTGCTCTGATTGGTCAGACGGCCCAGTCTGCTGTGATTGCACTACAGTGTTTGAGGGCGGGGCTTAGAGACGCTGTTCAGCCAATCAAGACCACAGGCTGGCTTTATGCTAATTAGTTACAAACCAACGTATTTTCAGCAGGAAGTGAGACTGAATTACTGACGACTCGTTTCAGTTCAGAATCACTTCTTTCTTTTAGGAGAAAAACTCAATTTATCTGCACTCTGATCTTTGCAGATCTTTTACATTCACATATGGCTCTATTACACACTACTGTACATGAAAGGTCATATCTCAAAAAGCAGAATAGGGGCATTTTAATGTACTTGTACTGTATATTTTGAGTATTAAAGGAATCCTCTCCTCTCTCTCTCTCTCTCTCTCTCTCTCTCTCTCTCTCTCTCTCTCTCTCTCTCTCTCTCTCTCTCTCTCTCTCTCTCTCTCTCTCTCTCTCTCTCTCAAATTCAAATTCAAATGAGCTTTATTGGCATGTACAGTATTGCCAAAGCATTGGCCATTACATATGCAATGAACAAATAATCACAAATAAATAAATAAATAAATAAAATTAAATAAAATTAAAATCAATAAATCAGTCAGTAAAAAAAAAAAAATGCATGAATACATTTTTAACATTTAAAAAACACATTTTTGTACGTTTGTACTAACATTCAAACAAGACAAGAACAATTCTGACTCTAGCTTTGTCTCTCTCTCTCTCTCTCTCTCTCTCTCTCTCTCTCTCTCTCTCTCTCTCTCTCAGAGACGATCACGGCTCTCTTTAAAACCCGGTTCAGGCTGGACTTCCCTTTCGACCTCCAAGAGCTTCCAGCCTTTGCTGTGATCGGGTCAGTTCTGCCTCTTGTTTTGTTCTTCTTGTTTCTGTGCATGTGTTGTGTACCAACTCTTAACAATGCAAAAATCATTTTCTTAGTATATCTGCCCTTAAATGTCACCAGGCAAACTAAGTTAGCGGATATGAGTTAAATCAAATCAAATTTACCTTGATCTTTTTACAAATAAGAGGACATCATACACTGTAAAAAAATTATTTTCATGATTTATCGCAACATTTTTTCTTTTGTCAAATCCACTTAGATCATTTATGTGGTTCAGATAACTTAATATTTTAAGTTTCTTTTGATTAATCCATTCTCCTTCATTGTATTAACTAATTTTTTGAATTTCAATGAACTTAAAATTAAGGCAACCAGGTTACTAGTAAGTAAAACTTACCATAAGTAAAACCAACAATAATTTTTTACAGTCTGCTATAAGAATATCCTGCAAGGTTCAGAACTCAAAACTTTCTTGTTAGTCCAAAAACAGCTTTTTTTGCTCAGAAAACGACTCGTTTTGAATTTTGTCGCATTATGACATCATAGTGCGACGAAAGACCGCCTCTACAGAATCGAGCGACGCCCACTTCTACATCATTACCTCTTTAGCCCCGCCCACCGATTCACGCATGTCATAGTAAATACAAGACCGACGCAAACACAGGATAAACTGTAGAGACACCTCTGTGTTTTCCGTCAACTTTGCAAACATCTTGTAATCCTCAGTGTTTGCATTGCCATCCTTGTGATCCTAACATTAAGAAAGTGTGATGCACTTTATTTTTTAAAGAAGCTCCAGTCCAGCTTCGCTTCATTTTACTGCGGATTCATTTTTGAACAAGACTGAGATAAAATATTTATTTGGATGTCTCTTATTGTTTGGTTTCTTTTACTAAATGTCCTAGCATAGTATCTCTGTTTATTATGATGCCCAGAATGCTTTAATTTATGTAAATATGTTTGGTAATACTTTACAATAAGGTTTCATTTGTTAACATTGTTTAACATGAACTAACAATAAACAATAATTCTTCAAGTAAACCGTAAGTAATATTATAAAGCGTGAAGAAATGTGTCCTGCTGATTGTTCATCTGTTTTAGACACTGTGTACCCAACAGATATTTCATGAAAGCACAATCTTCTAATGATTATGAATCATGAGCATGTTTATGCCATTAATAATGAATATGCATGATGTCACTCATAATTCTCTCTCTCTCTGCAGAATTGCCAGCGGGTTTGGCGGTGCCTTATTTGTGTATTTGAACAGGCTAATTGTTCAGTTTATGCGAAAACAGAAAACTATTAACAAGTTCCTCATGAAGAAGTGAGTGTTCCCTGTGTTTCTACTTGTTTCTCTATAATTGTGAGGGCTGAATATCTGAAAATATACATGGTGTGTTTTTTAACTGATAGTGTAGTTTAACCTCTTAATGGTGTTATTTTCATACTAGTTATAAAATATCTTTAAAAAAATATATCTTAAAGTGCCCCTATTATGCTTTTTTGGATATGACCTTGAGCTGTTTGTGACTCTAAAAGGTCTGCGAAGAAAAGAAAGAGTCGATTCTGAACTGTAATTCCAGTCTCACTTCCAGCTGAACCTACGTACGTAACTAATTAGCATAAAGCCAGCCTGTGGTCTTGATTGGCTGAACAGCGTCTCTAAGCCCCGCCCTCAAACACTGTAGTGTATCTGAGACTGGGAGAGTTCGGTTCGTGTTGTTCATGTGGAGAAGACGCTGTTTTCTGCTGACAAAGCAAATCCACTGTGATGAGATTGATACGGTAAAACCCACGCCATCGCCACTGTTCGTATCACTGTGTGTCAAGAGCTGAGACTCACATATGATCATGAGCGTTTGCTTTCTGACCAATCACAGCAGACTGGGCCGTCTGACCAATCAGAGCAGAGCAGCTCTCAGAGAGGCGGGGTTTAGAGAGACTGAATCTGCAAACGAAGCGTTTCAGACACTGAGAGAAAAGAGCTGAAGCTGCAGTGGATATTATGAGATAATTAAAGTGTTTTTGACCTTGGATTCATGTAAATGTATCATAGGAGACTCCATAGCATAATATGGGCACTTCTAAAAAATCCCCAAAGCTTTCTGAAAGCAATCAAATTAGACTGCAGTTATTATATTACAATTATCTTTTATAGGTTTATTAACAAATATAGGTCTATTCACAAGTATAATATCACAAGTGTGTGTGTGTGTGTGTGTGTGTGTGTGTGTGTGTGTGTGTGTCTGTCTGTGTCATGTGCAGGCGTCTGTTGTATCCCGCGCTGGTCACGCTACTGATCTCAACACTCACTTTCCCTCCGGGCTTTGGGCAGTTCATGGCTGGACAGGTACACACACACACACACACACACACACACTCTACACAATATGTGTTTGTTCCTCAGGCTGTTAAATCCATCCAGTTAATAATCTTAATGAGACAGTTGAGAGAAACATCAGGCATTCATTAATCATTCTTAACAACATACACACTCGATAAAATACAGAATAAGACATCAACTCTCGCTCTCTATCTCACTCACACACACACACACACACACACACACACACACACACACACACACACACACACACACACACACACACACACACACACACACACACACACACATACACACTTATATAAAACAGAATTTGAATACAAAATGTGGCAATAAAATACACCATTAGCAGCGGATGACTGCACTCTCGTACAACACTTCACATAATCCATTTCTCAATCAGTTTTTATCTTGTTTTATTGTATAATACCTGAACATCTCTAAAAAGGAAGTGGTAGCACTTTACAATGAGGTTTCATTTGTTAACATTTGCATTAACTAACAATGAACAATACATTCTCACAGCATTTACTAACCTTTATTAATGCTGGTAAAAAATGTTCATGGTCATTTTAGTTCACAGTGTATTAATGTTAACAGATACAACTTTTCAGCTTAAAAAATGCTGAGATTGACAGTAATGAAGATTAATAAGTGCTGTAGAAGTTGTAAGTTCATGTTAACTAATGTTATTGTGAAGTGTTACCAAGGATGTTTACTTACCCACTGAAGTTAAGTTTCAATATATTAACACATTTGCATGGTCATGTTTGCTTGTAAATGTCTTCTTTTTAGTAAGTGTTTTATTTTTAAATTATTTAATTATTTGTTTTTATAAATAGAATAGAATATAATACAATTTACATTTTCTTACTTGTATACCTCATTAGCATACTTTATTTTTAGTTAATTTGATTTGTTTTAAGCATAAAGCTAACTGTAATATTGTGAGGTTTATGCTTAAAATAAGAAAGTGAACACTGAAGCTCCTGGTAATAACATGTCATTTTCTCACACACATAGCTTACACAGAAAGACACCCTGGTTTCATTTTTTGACAATCGCACTTGGACAAAGCAAGGAATCACAGAAGACTTTAGTTACGACAGTCACTCGACCGCCTGGAAACATCCGCAGGCTAACGTCTTCGTGATCCTCGTCATCTTCATCGTTATGAAGGTAAATAATCACACACGCATCTAAACACTTGTTTTTTATTTTAAATTTAGATATCTTTTGATTGTTTGGTTTAAAGGCAATGTTTTTCATAAACGCTTATACTGGTTGAAACTCTATTCACTCTGTTTACGCTCATTGTTGTTGTAATATCGTGTGTTTTGAGACCTGAGGTAATTTAACTCTTTGCAGACACTTAATTGACACTCGAATAATACATGAGCTCATTAACATATGACCGCCTACATTTACATATCAACCGCTATTCAGTATTTAGCAGCTTGAAAAATGATAGTGTGAAGTACGTTAGCCAATCACAGCAGAGGTCATTTACATAGACCTCCTGTAGCTCCGCCCCTTTTCAGCGCTGAGCTCGTTGTCTTCCGGTTTGTATTTCCACAGCATGAAGGTAAGATCTTACGGATTTAATCTTTAATTTTAACTAAGATCTTTATGGATTACGGATCAAATCTTCCCGGTCTACTGACATTTATGACATCCGCTTCAAACATTACAATGCTCTTGATAACTTTCGTTAACTCTATAATAAGACAATTCACTTCACCAGCTAATTACTCTTAGACAGCGATTCCATAGAAAAATAGAAGTTCAAAGATCGAATTCTAAAGATTGTTTTTCTGGCGGATGAGGTCTATAGAAGGGTTGTTTACACTGATTTGAGCGAAAAAGGAGATTTCATTACCCTCAAAAAACCAAACATAAGCCGTTCTATCCTCCCAGCTGTAGAAGTCACTGGCTGAGGAAAACAAGAGTGTGTGTGTGTGTGTGTGTGTTTGTGAAGACTTGCATCGCTCGCTACCTGCGTGAGTGTGTCACCCTGGCAACCTCATCAGAAACCCGGTCGAAACCTGTCACTGCACAGGAAGTGATGTCGTCAGCGTTGCCATGGGGACGAGTGCCCTGTGTGTCCTTGAGCTGAACAGGAACCTTTGACTTAACCTGCGCAGTTTAATCTAAAACTACTACAGATTTGTCCATACATCTGACAAAACCTCTCTTTGGAAGTACGATTTAGAAGTAATACATCACTTTTTTTTATTATTTAATTCAAAAATTTTAATTCCAAAAATGCTAAGTTTTTTATGGGTAGGTTTAAGCTTTTGGGTTACACAGTAGTAATTAAAAAACAAAATGTCCTCACTTATATAGTAGAAGCTTAATTCAGCATTAAATTGATGAAAAGTGACAGTAAAGACATTTATAATGTTCACTTTCAATTAAATGCTGTTCTTTTGAACTTTTTATTCATCAAAGAATCCTGGAACAATAAAATGTATCACAGTTTCCATAAAAATATTAAGCAGCGCAACTGTTTTCAACACTGATAATAATCATAAATGTTTCTTGAGCATCAGATCATCATATTAGAGTGATTTCTGAAGGATCATGTGACACTGAAGACTGGAGTAATGATGCTGAAAATACAGCTTTGATCACAGGAATAAATTACACTTTACTATATATTCACAAAAAAAACAGTTATTTTAAAGTGTAAAAATATTAATTTTTTTTACTGTATTCTCATCAAATAAATGCAGTCTTGATGAGCAGAAGACTCATGCACTTTCTGAAAAGCTGCTTTGAAACGCCGTGTATTGTGAAAAGCGCTACACAAATAAATGTGAATTGAATTAAATTGAAAGAGACTTTTTTCAAAAACATTAAAAAAAATCGTATTTGTGTATAATGTGATCGTATAATGTGCGTATGGGAATGCCGGCAGGTGGAGAGGAAGAGAAGAGCAGATTTCTGCGAGTCTGTCCATTTTTCAGTGCCGAGAGAGAGCGAGTGTCTGAGAGGATGAAAAGAAGGAGAGAATATTATGCAATGATCTCTCTATCCACCCACAGCTTTCAAACACTCTCCAGCATAATTCACATAACACTTATATAACATTCTCACTGAATCCCACCTCAACCTCCACCGGATCTGTTCTGTTCTCGCAGGAACCATCGATTGTGCACCGCGTGTGTGTGTGTGTGTGTGTGTGTGCTTTAGTGCGTGACTTTCTCTATTAATTAACTTCTGTTGTTCTGAATCAGCCAATTAGATTGCTTTGCTAATTACTCCCAGTTCATTTCAGGATTCACCTCACATTCAGTACCAAGTGACGTGTGTGTGTGTGTGTGTGTGTGTGTGTGTCTAATTAACAAATAAACTGAAATTCTATTTCCAGATTGGAGCAAAAGTTCAGACTTGTGTGTTGGCATTTTGCTTAATATAATTAATTTATCTGTCTCAAATAGAGTGTTATTAAAATGAAAGGTGACTTTGGATTGTCTTGTGTTGTTCACTAATGAGATCACACACACACACAATACACACTTTTATCATTTTATTCTGTTTGCTGCAAATAACTTTTGTCAAACTTTTGATTCAAGGCAATAAGGACTGCCTTAAACTATCATTAAATGACTCTCGGGACAGGTGACAGAACTGTGTTTTTAAGTATTTTCAATTTAAACATTTAAGTGATTTTTAACCATTCAGATTCGATCGTAAGAAGCGTTTTCTTTCACAAATCGAGTTCTCTTTCACAACTTCTGCTTGAACCAAAAAATACACACAATGAAAGTATGTGAAAATGCCCGCCTTGGCGAGTATTCAAGTAAACTCTGTCGGTTATGTCTTAACTGAACATAAGCGGTTGACAAAGAAAATGCACGTGTAACAGTATATTGGATCCATGCATTCGTTCTTAAAGGGACAGCACCTAATATTCCTGCTGCCGTCTGTGGCATTATTGTTAATTAAATGACAAAAGACAGAGAGAAAATCACTCACTGATCTTGACTGAACAACTTTTGTTGCTTTAACAAGGATTAATCTATATTTAATTCATACAGAATACTATGCGGTGTATTTTTTTACGTTTGATTATTTAATTTCTGTACCTGAATACTGTTAGGCAGACTTATCTGAAAAATTAAAGCACTGTTTATTTCATTTGTATCTTTGTTCTTTTGTAATTATTTTAGCTGTTGCTTGGAGTTTATTTATTTGTTCTTATATTATTACTGAAGACTCACTTGTATTTATTAATGTTTTGAACTTTACATTAGTTAGTACGGAAGCGTATTGCATTCACTTGAGGAAAAAAATCTACTCTGTTTTTCTGAATTAACGAGTTAATTATCTCAGAATTACGAGATAATTTTTCATGGAAAAAAGTTTCTGCTTTGTTTTTCTGAATTAACGAGTTAATTATCTCAGAATTACGAGATAATTTTTCATGGAAAAAAGTTTTTGCTGTTTTTCTGAATTAACGAGTTAATTATCTCAGAATTACGAGATAATTTTTCATGGAAAAAAGTTTCTGCTCTGTTTTTCTGAATTAACGAGTTAATTATCTCAGAATTACGAGATAATTTTTCATGGAAAAAAGTTTCTGCTCTGTTTTTCTGAATTAACGAGTTAATTATCTCAGAATTACGAGATAATTTTTCATGGAAAAAAGTTTCTGCTCTGTTTTTCTGAATTAACGAGTTAATTATCTCAGAATTACGAGATAATTTTTCATGGAAAAAAGTTTCTGCTCTGTTTTTCTGAATTAATGACTTAATTATCTCAGAATTACGAGATAATTTTTCATGGAAAAAAGTTTCTGCTCTGTTTTTCTGAATTAACGAGTTAATTATCTCAGAATTACGAGATAATTTTTCATGGAAAAAAGTTTTTGCTCTGTTTTCTGAATTAACGAGTTAATTATCTCAGAATTACGAAAAAAAATTTAATTGAAAAGTTTTTGCTCTGTTTTTCTGAATTAATGACTTAATTATCTCAAAATTATGAGTAACTCATTAATTCATAAAAACAGAGTGAAAAAAAAAATGTTTTTCAAGAAAAATGTATCTCATAATTCTGAGATATTAAGTCATTAATTCAGAAAAACAGAGCAAAAACTTTTTTTTCACGAAAAAATATCTCGTAATTCTGAGATAATTAACTTCCGTAAGTTAGGCTAGTCGTTTTTGCTTTGCAATCGAAATTGGAATCAGTCGATAATTGTGAAATTTCTGAAATTTTGGTGTCTTATTTATTGGAATACCATGTTACATGGGGCAAAACAACAACAAACATGTATTTATTTATTTATTTACATTTTTGAGCCCCTTGTTTGCTTGTTTTTTTTCTATAATTCTAATTTATTATTATTCTTTAGTTTTAATATTTCTTTTCTTGTAATGTGCTGATCTTTGAGTCAATTATGGATGAAATTGTCAGAAAGTACTGGATGTGAAACTGAGTTATTTTCATGATTCTTTTTTATATTTACACATTTACATGACGTTTATAAAATGTTCTATTTTCGTCTGTTGAGGAAATCATAGTCCATGCATAAACTGTCATGCAGATGACAGACATGACCGATTTTGCGTCAGATGTACAAGGAACCGTTGATCTGTAAGGATGTTTGTGGATTTTGATGTGTTGTGACGCACACAGACGCATGTGTGAATATCACACCCCTCTGGTTTATCATATTTCAGGCTATTGTGTGTGAAGAGACAGGCGGCTTAAAGTTCAGAATCCAAATTCTCACTTTGAATCTATAAAATAGCTATTTTTCTTTTCTTTTTTGTTGTTGCTCTGGGCTGTTTTCGGTTTTAATTTCATACAGGTGTGTCGCTGCTATTGTTCTGTAATAACCAGCTATGTAATTTGTCACACTACACTACATGTTGGAAAAAAAGTAGCTTGTTAATGGGAAAAACTGAATTACTGTCATGCTACTGAAAAATGAATTCTACCAAGATAATAGCGTTACCACTTTTAGTTAGTTAATCCCTCAACACTGATGATATTATTGGCTAATATTCGCCTCTCTCCTTGGTTACATCAGCAGAAAAGTTGTTGCAGAGGTATTGAATTTTGGTGAAATATTACAAAAAAAGTGTTGTCTGTGTTTAAATGAGTGTTACTGTTGTTTCTCGTGCAGTTCTGGATGTCTGCTTTAGCCACAACTCTTCCTGTACCTTGTGGAGCCTTCATGCCTGTTTTTGTCATTGGTAAGTGTGTTTGGGTTTTTCCTTAAAATAATGATTTTTAAGGCAAGATACCTTTGGTGAATAGGGTAAAAACTTAAACAATAGATCTTACCATAGTTGATTAATCACAGTAGATTAAGACAATTGTGTTAACTTACAAGTTTTCATGTTAGGTTTAAATTTGCAAACGAGGCAATATCGAATTAAATTTATATAATAAATCATTTTTATACGTTTCATATGATTGTTTATATAATCGCACTAATTTGCATATGTTTTCAGAACATAAATCTTAACGTTGGATAAAGTCACATTCAAAACCCTTTTTTCATTTTGATGACCTATTAGAGTTAAAGGTTTATGGAAGCTTGTTTCCGCCACTGAATAAAAAAATTAAAATGAATAATTGCAACTTTTTATCTCACTATTGCGAGATATGAAGTCAGAATTGTGAGAAATAAAGTCGCAATTGCGAGATATAAAGTCGCAATTATTAGAAATAGTCGCAATTGCGAGAAAAAAAGACAGAATTGCGACTCACAATTCTGACTTTTTTTCTCACAATTGCAAGTTTACATCTCGCAATTCTGACTTTATAACACACAATTGTGAGTTTATATCACGCAATTCTGACTTTATAACACACAAATTGCGAGTTTATATCTCGAAATTCTGACCTCTTTTCTCAGAATTGTGATATATAAACTCGCAATTGCGAATTATCAGGCCAATTCTAAGAGGATAAAAAGACTAACTTTTTTCCTCTAGAGAATAGTTTATATCTCACAATTCTGACTTTACAACACGCAATTGCGACTTTATATCAATCAATTCTGACTTTATATCTCGCAATTCTGACTTTATAACACGCAATTGCGACTTTATTTCATGCAATTCTGACTTTATAACCTGCAATTGCGACTTTATATCACGCAATTCTGACTTTATAACACGCAATTGCGACTTTATATCAATCAATTCTGACTTTATATCTCACAATTCTGACTTTATAACACGCAATTGCGACTTTATTTCACACAATTCTGACTTTATAACCTGCAATTGCGACTTTATATCAATCAATTCTGACTTTATATCACGCAATTCTGACTTTATAACACGCAATTTGATTTTATATCACGCAATTCTGACTTTATATCTCGCAATTCTGACTTTATAACACGCAATTGCGATTTTATATCACGCAATTCTGAGTTTATATCTCGCAATTGCGATTTTATATCACGCAATTCTGACTTTATATCTCGCAATTCTGAGATTCTCAGAATTGCGAGATGTAAACTCGCAATTGTGAGAAAAAAAGTCAGAATTGTGAGATGAAAAAAAAGTCGCAATTACCTTTTTTATTTTTCATTCTGTGGCAGAAACAAGCTTCCATAAAGGTTTTCACTGAGGGGATTTTGGATTTCTCCTTTTATCACTCCATAAATCAGAAAATACTGTATACTGATAGAAAAAAAAACATTTTCACCATGTTTTAGGAATAAAATGTTAAATATATATCAGGTGTATAATATATGAACAAACCCCTCAGTAAAAACCTTCAGAATTTAGATAGGAATAATTCTGTAAGTTTTGGTGTATATAACTGCTGCTGAAGTGGAGGAAAAACTCGCCGACTTTAAAGATATGTATTGTAATTGAAACCTACAGATGCAAATACAGTTGTCAACATTTGAAGTGGATCAAAAAAGTTCATAAAGGTTCTCCTAAGACAAGAACGGGTATTGTGCAAAATTCATGTATAACTTTGATGAAAGGTTTTGATCCACTTCAGATGTTGACTACTGTAGATAAAATAAACACTTAAATGTGTATTTGGTCTTTGACATAATAGCAATGTCTCAAAATTGCCAAGACAGTGCATGAAAAATACTTGTAGTATCTTGCCATAAAATATTACATTTTCAAAATGTTGTATGTGATATATTTAAACAAAAATGATGGAGAAATTAAATTTTGACCCGGGAATGTGTGTGTGTGTGTTTCAGGTGCTGCATTTGGCCGTTTGGTGGGTGAAAGTATGGCCGCTTGGTTTCCAGAGGGAATTAATACGGATGGAATCATCTATCCCATAGTGCCCGGAGGATACGCTGTTGTGGGTGAGAAACAAACTCATGCTCATACATGTGATGTGCTTTAACAGCCACGTTCACACACACACACACACACACACACACACACACGTTCATCACAGCTAATTACCTTTTATGGAAATTGCCTCAGTGTTGCCATAGTGATTTTAAGAGGCATTGATTTAGTTTTGTTGTGTTGGGTTTAATGGATTGTTTGTTTTCGTTGTTAGTAAGATGAAGTCTTTGATTAGTAGCCACTAGATTTAATTATGAAATAAAAATAACCCCTCTTGAATAATTATTATTTTATTTATAGTTTAACAGACAATATAGAGAAGTGTATGATTTTGACATTAAAAAATGCCCTTTAATAGAATATTTTTGCTTAATAAATTTAATAAAAGGTTTCATTTATTAACATTAGTAACATGAACTAACAATGACCAATACTTCTATTGCATTTATTCATTTTAGTTCATGTCATTTTTAACATTTACGAATACATTATCAAAATCAAAGGTTGTATTTGTTAACATTAGTTAAAACATTAGCTGACATAAACAAACAATGAATAATTATATTTTTTACTAATTAACATTAACAAAGATGAATAAATGCTGTAAAAATATACGTTCATGTTAACGAATGAGACCTTTTTGTAAAATGTATCCAATACATTTTGGATAATTTTGACCTATTATTTATTTATCTTTAATGCACAATCTAAGTAACTTACCAGATTTACATTTCACTGCAGGTTGTATCATGTATATAACTGTATGTGACAAATAAAAATCTTGAATCTTGAAAAATAGCAATATATTAGAAAATAGAAAAATTAAGCTATAACTAAGTGTAGATATCAATTTCATTCATATTTACAGTTTGTTTATAAGTTTACATTAGTGTTGCACACGTGTGACTGTTGAATTTCTTTGAATTGAATTCAGTATATTCCTGCTCTTGTCAACTCATGAGTTTGAATAAGTTGAATTGCTCCAACAGTTTGTGTTTATTTTGCATTGTTTTCTTTTTGCCTTATTAATTTAAAGTGAAGATGTATTTCATTTATTTTGTTAAAACTCTCTCTCTTGTTGACATAGTGGAGTTTTATCATGAGGATTTTGGATATCTCTTTTTATCACTCCATAAATCAGAAAATACTGTAAACAGCCAGAAAAAAATATTTTCGCCATATTTTTAGGAACAAAATGTAAAAAATCAAATAAATGTTAAATAAACAAACCCCTCAGTAAAAACCTTCAGAACATAGATGGGAGTAAAACTGTAAGTTTTGGTGTATATAACTGCTGCTGAAGTGGAGGAAAAACTCACAGCCTTGAAATATGTGACCACAAAACCAGTCACATGGGTCAATTTGTTGACATTGAGATTTAAACATCATATGAAAGCTGAATAAATGAGCTTTCCATTGATGTATTAGGATAGGACAATATTGCTCGAGATACAACTATTTGAAAATCTGGAATCTGAGGGTGCAAAAAAAATCGACACATTGAGAAAATCTCCTTAAAGTTGTGCATTTGTGTTGGCGATTGTGCTGCATTCACTCACAAAAATTAATATTTTATACATTTACAGTAGGAAATTTACAAAATATCTTCATGGAACATGATCTTTACTTAATATCCTAACGATTTTTGGCATAAAAGAAAAATGGATAATTTTGACCCATAGAATGTATTGTTAGCTATTGCCACAGATATACCCGTGCGTCATGTGACTGGTTTTGTGGTCCAGGGTCACATATGGATTGTAATTGAACTCTACAGATGCAAATAGATAAAGTGCAATAAAATAAACACTTAAAAGTTTTCTTTTACATTAGCCTGAAAGACACATTATTAAAGCAAAATAAACCATAATTGACTAGTGTATAAAAAAAACATGGTTTTGTCTTCAGTGGGTTGCGTTTAAAACTCTCTCTCTCTCTCTCTGTTTAGGAGCGGCGGCGTTATCCGGAGCGGTCACACACACCGTTTCCACAGCCGTGATCGTGTTTGAGTTGACGGGTCAGATAAGTCACATTCTGCCCATCATGATCGCTGTGATTCTCGCCAACGCCGTCGCTCAGAGTCTGCAGCCGTCCATCTACGACTCTATTATACGCATCAAGAAGCTGCCTTATCTGCCCGAGCTCGGCTGGGGTCACCACGAGTGAGTTCATACCGCTTTTAATAACATATTGCTTTTGCTTTCTTCCTCAACACAGTGTTTTGAAGGATTCAGTAACTACCACAGAATACAGACGTAGAAAAACACTCACACAGTCAATCACAGTTACATCAAGTCATTCCCTTGATTTGTAACTATGTTTACATTTTTAAAACATACAACAATTTCAAAATGTATCTTTAAGCCTGGCTGTGTCATGGTTATTATAGTTAAATAAAACTATAAAAAAAATTCGTTTCTTGAAACAAAATAAAATATAAAACTTAAACTTATTTTTTTTAGCAACATTTCATTTCGTTTTAACTTGGATGTGCTAAACTAACTAAAACTAAATCGGAAATAAAAATGAATAAAAACTATATAAACATTTAAAAAAACACTAATAAATATAACAAAACCATACAACAAAATTAATAAAATTTAGTAAAATTAAAACAGAAAATGTATTCAAAAATTGCAGACAAAAAAACAACTATAATAGTATCTCAATGATGCTAAAAAAAAAAAACACTGGGCTGTGTGTAATTATATTGTAAGGAAAGTTTCTTTAAATACAGTTATTTTTATCACTGCAAAAAATTATTTTCTTAATTAGTATTGTCGTCTTGTTTTCCAGTACAAATATCTAACAATTTCAAAAATTACTAGAGCAGCAAAATGACTTGAGATAGTAAGTCTTGTTTTCTCATCAAAATTAAGTGAGTTTGTGTTTAAAACGAGAAAAAAATATCTTTAATTTTCTGACCCCATTTTAAGCAAAAACTCACTTAATTTTGATACCTTTACTTGATCACCAAATGACTTTTGTCATATTAAGTCATGCTTTCTGAAAAAAAAAAAAAAAAATTATTATAAGAATGTTTAGATATTTGTACTGGAAAACAAGACAAAAATAACAAAAGTAAGAAAATAATTTTTTGCAGTGTAATCATAAATCCAAATCTGCGTTTCTTAAAAACTCACAGTAAGTTCCTGAAGGAACGTGTGGCGTAAATGTTAATTCCCTTCCAGGTTTCAGAACTAATGACTGAACCATTGTAATGACGAAATAAATAAAATAAGTGGCAAATGCTTTTTTGATGGAATTAAAAGATAAAATTATTATTTTCTTGTTACTTTTAACTACATTAACACATTTGTTTAAATCTATCTATTTTTTTGCGTTCATTTTTAAAGTGATTTACATTTTTTCTTTGGCATTAATACACTTTTTCCTTCATTTAATTGAGTGGCACTCACAGTCCTCAAGACAGAGATGGTGTTTTCTCTTAATTAGTGTAAATGGGCGATCTGTTTGCAAACAGGGTCTAAAGTTACACAACACACACACACTCCTGTGCAACACATCAGACTAATGGCAAACTGTGCAATACACACATAAATCTTAGTTTCTGAGGGTTTTCAGATGTTCAGGATTTCAAAGTTTGAAATGGTAGCAATGACACACACACACACACACACACACACACACACACACACACACACACACACACACACACACACACACACACACACACACACACACACACACACACACACACACACACACACACACACACAGGTCTTTTGCTCTGAATGATTGTGTTTCTGCCCTGGTGTCAAACTCATCTACAGCATCTCATAGACGAATTTATACCTGTCAAGAGAACAATTACATTACTGTGTGTGTGTGTGTGTGTGTGTGTGTGTGTGTGTGTGAGAGAGAGAGAGAGAGAGAGAGGGAAGCTAGATTTTTTGCTGAGTTAGAATCTGCAGAAAACTCACCTCTCAGCAGGATACACACACACACACACACACACACACACACACACACACACACACACACACACACACACACACACACACACACACTCATTGACATTCCCTGCTCTGTATCTCTTCCTCTCTCTCTGTCATTTCACTTTCATTTCATTTTATTGGCTCGTCTGTTTTACACACAATGCTGCCAAAATGTCAATCAATACAGGAAGAAAGCATGTCTTGTATGCCAAAAAAAAAAAAAAAAATTGTTCAAGTTTGTAACAATACATATTGTTTCAAAGCAACCTTACAGAAAATGCTTTTTTTATTTTATTTATGTATTTATTTATCGTGAACAATCAGCAAAACAAAATTTTAAAACCACAAAATGCAACACAAACAATCAAAATTTAACAACAAAAGAAATAAAAAAATACAAATAAATACAAAAAATAAAAGGATTAGTTTGAGAAGGAGCAGGAGGAACCAAATAGCTTATTTAATCCTGCCCCTTATTTCACTAAATAATATTAATACAACCTAAATAGATATGCAATTACCGCATATAATCTTTCAGGTCTTACAATAACTTACAACAATACTTTTAAATTACAATTCAGTGTTGCAATTTACAAAGTATTCTGTTATCAGATGACTATCAAAGTAATGTGTGTATGACAGTCACACACAGCTGTAATATGATGCGTTGTGTGGTTCACATCAACATAATGAGTGTGTTAGGCAGCCATTACAACTTGATAACAGTGTAAGAATAATGTGTGAGAAGTTTTGCACGTTGATGCCGTTATCTGAAGTCTTTGCAATCGTCGCCATCGCCTGAAATAATCACAAAAGCAAAATTATATTAATTTGACGTTTATGCATATTAAATATATTTGTGCATTTTCTGAAGTAAATGTGAGTGGTGTTTGTGGTTCTCTGGATGGTTTGTCTCTCTGGATCGCACTTTTTCCAGAACAAAATGTTTATTTTGTAGTAATTGATAAATATTTATATCCTATTAATAAAATAAAATATCTGTGTGTGTTTGTTTCCTACAAAAACGTTGGTAACAAACCGGGATATTATTTGTGACTAAAACTAAAACCATAAATAAATAAATGAAAAATTGTAGCATGAAATTAAAGAAACGTTAAATAAACAAAATAAAATATAAACCAACTTAAACTTATTTTATTTGAGCTAATTGCCGAAAGCAAAACATTTCTCATTTTAATTTAGTTAAAATTGATGTACTAAAATAACTAAAAGTGAAACAGAAATCAGTTACAACTATACATAGACACAGCAAAATTACAAAAATTTGCAGTAAAATTAAAACATAAAAATAAGAACTAAGTCAACATGTTGATAAAAACTGTAATATGATCTCAATGATATTAAAATAACACACTGACAAGGTTAAATGCTTATGTCTGGATGATAGTATATGTGTAAACTGTGAAAATAAAATGTGGTTAGGTTAAAATAATATGAGTTATTATAATTACAGCAGACATTTGATGTGCTTGAAAGAAGCCCGCACTCATGCTGTTTTAATGTTGTGCCTGTTAAGGTTTGTTCGGATCACTAACTGGAATCATGAGCAATAGTAGTAGTGCTGCTCGACTTACTGAAACAAACACGCTAATAACTAATCACACAGACATATAAAAACAGACTCTGTAATGTGATGGCTGTGATGGGGATTATGAATTCTGCTGCAGTGATTGCATAACTGTGTGAAATCTCTGTCTGCAGGAAGTATAATATTCGTGTGGAGGACATCATGGTCAGGAACGTTCGCTATATCACACTGAACTGCACATACAGAGACCTTCACGACGTCCTCTTGACAGGGAACCTCAAAACACTGGCGCTGGTGG